AACGTCCGGGTGCAGGGCGACACTTTGGGTCCATGCTGACCCAGCCGACCTCTCACCAAAGTAACCCATAAAAGTTATCCCTGGACCTGCACCCGGACGTTTGGCGCCACCGCCGAAACGGGAGAGAGGTGTGCAGTCGCTAAAAGAGCGATACAGCGGATATAAGTCCCGGACTCCATGACCTGTGGTGGGTCAGTACAGTTTAACCAACGTACGCCTCAACCATCTCACAAACCCCGGGAGTATGTTCTGACCACTGCGGTTGGGAGCGGCTGTTCGGAACAGAGACCACAGTTCGCTAACTACTGCGGTGGGATGAGGAAAGTACTCCCCCATTTTTATTTTTTACTTTTGAAGCCTGTTCCTCTTTGAAGCACATTCTTCCCCAATTTCAGCATATCGACGAGGTCGGAGAAAAGTAGGTCGAACAGCACTTTGGTGGGTTTTGGAAAAATTACCAGGTCGGAGAAAAATAGGCCGGACAATCTAGCTGCACCGTTGTTCACGGTTGCGGTGCCGCCTAAATTCCAGTCAACATCTTCATAGACCCCGTCCTTTGTTTTGCTCACGCTGTACCGCCAGTCGTAGTGCGGGCGGGTTGCAGAATCAAACGGAGCCGTGATGAGCGACGGTATAGGCAAGCCCGCCGGCACGCCCGCGTGCGTTGGTACAGCATCAGCAAAATAAAGGAAGGGTCGGTGGACCACCCTGTACGTGTGGCATCCACTACGCTCGCGCAGTGTTCTGCGCCACAACAGTGCGAGGATCGGCACGGCGGCGGGTGCGCAGTCGCTGGACGCCGCCGGTCGCCGTGGTGCGGTGCGGCAGCCAGCGCCAGGAATACAGTGCGCCATTACGGCTGTCCACGACGCCAGCCTACGCCAGGCCTGGCCACGCGGACCGTGATCTCACTTAGTGACGAATGGAGTTCGCAAGATGTAAACAAAAACTCGGGGCCGCGTCCGCCTCCCCCTCGCGAGGACGAGCGTCCCCGGGCCGCGCCGCGGGGCGGCCGGCTGTACTCGCCTTCTGCTGCTGCTGCTGGCGGGGGAAGTCCCACGACGGCGTGCACTGGCACACTGTGTTGTCGCGCGCGGCGGGCTCGTGCTGTTGCTCTTGCGGCAGGACAAGGACTAACTGGTGGCGACCAGCGACCTGAAGGGAGGAAGGCGAGGCTCCGCAGTGGCGCGATCACAGGACCACCAGCGAGCGAGCGACCGGCAGCAAGCCGCCGCCGCCAACCACCAGCCAACCGAGCGACGCCGTTGGCAGCCGCGCCGCCGCGCGCCCCTACTCGGTGCCTGACTTGTCATGTGACCGGGCGTCGGCCAATGGGAGGCGGCGCTCAGAGACACACCACCACCCGGTACCCCGCTAAACCCCGCCG